AATATTTCTTTGTTTGCAATCACGGAAAACACGGTACCTCGTGTGAAAATTCATTATTAATATCATGAACACCCAAAGGGACTGAATTTGGAGATGATCACAGACGATCACTGCGCATGCGCATCTTGCTCCTATTTCGGCTATTTCTCAAGGATTTTCCCTAGATTTTGTTCATAACTGTGAAGTCGCGAGAGACGGAAATTCACTTCCGCGCGTGGGATGTGTCAGTAAAATTGCGAGAGTTGTGAGCCATTCATCTCGATTCTATTTTCTCAAACAATGAATCGGCGCGGAAAAAGGTATAGCAGGAATTGATGAGCACGGTTAATCACTTGAGGTGAACCCGTGCACGTGGGCGCGCCACGCCAATAAAAGTTGGACCTCCATAATACTCAGGGGTCTCAGAGATCTCAGAGATCTCTGAACTCGTGATACCTCTCAGATATTTATAAATAGTGAGTAAATTCGAGCGCAGATCCACAGAGATCCACTTGTGCATTCACATCTTTCATAATAATGGTCTTACAGGACGCCGATCTGTTTCCTGCCCCCACTATCACCCGTTCTAAATTCGCGCCACGCTCTTGGCCAGGTATCACCCCCGAGTCGACTGCAACACTTAAACGCATCATCAAAGATAGTTATGAAAGATGGCACGTCTTCTTCCTGCGCGATTACCGTCCACACAAGTGAGTGCCCGCATGGTGCCCGTCCTTAACTGAAAGTATTGATCCTTGTGACGTTCACAGCCATTCGATCCACTATGCGCTTGCGCTTTGGACATTCGGAACAGACGATGAGGTCATCCAGGCTGCGTACAAACACGACTGTGGGATGCTCTTGCCTAGGTTTGAATCACCTGGAACCATCACCTTGTCGAACTGGATGGACCATGTCGGCGACGACGAGTGAGTTGCCTGGAAATTTTGTCCGATACATGGGGCTTCGCGATGATATTGACTTCCGCATAATAGTTATTACGGTGCATACCTCGACTTCTTCAAAGATATTGTGAAGAAACAGGGCGTAAAAAGTGCGGTGCAAGAGTATATTTTCTCGGAGAAAGCGAACTTTGTAGCTGGACGCAAGGAGGACCAGCAACCGGAAATGTTGAATAGGTTATTGGATGGTGTCATCCATAGCTTGATTCACGTTGGAAATGGCCTAGAATTCAGCGTTCCTGGTCTTGTGATAGAAGGTATACCGTTAAACAGCATTCCCAAAAGTATACGTCTGTTCTCATTATTTGAAAGGTCTCGCGTGGACAGCTGTGCATTTCAATAGTTCATCAAAAGTTATGCCACAATCTTTATGGAAAGAGGCGGAAGCGAAAGGTCCCGTCGCTTCATTGACGTCACGTTTCCTAGGCCTTGGGTCGGCAGAGACAACCTCAAAGAAGACGAATGTCCATGCGTTCACGATCCTCGCGCGTATACTGAAAGACTCTCGGTTCGATGACATTGAAGCTGTCGACGAATATACTGTTGTATACTCCAACATAACGGACAAATTCAGTGACGTGGTAATGGAGTACGTACGCCAGTGGACATATGATCAAAGCCTTCCGGACGAGGCAGAACGCAAGATAGAGGAGTTGGTATATACCAACGCTTTGATTTATGGTGTAGCGGGTTGGTCTAAAGACGAACCATTCAACACGGACTTTTACACGTAAGTGACAAAATTGGCCTTACCGCTGAAGACAGTACAATAATTCCGTCACCATTTAGCGACCACATCGTTACCTCTTCCCTCTTTCTCTTCACCATCTCCGAGATCCTCCCACCTGCCTCTATCGAAGTCTTTTTGCGAAGCTATTTCACCGTTTGCCTGACATGGTGGATTGGACGCGGGCGACCAGCATTCGACATCAACGGTTTCTACGCAAACGCCACCCTGAATCCTGGACCTGTCGCACCGTTCCCCAAGCCACACAAAGATGCGTTGCCCAGTGCGGATTCGATGAAGGCCAGCTGTCCAAACCCATGGCTTCAACTCGTACAGGAAATTTTGGTCGTCCCAGACGAGCATCTCCCCAAGACGCAAAGAGCACTCTCTCATTTTGCTGAGATCTATGGTGGGCGACAGAAGGGTGAAGAGGACTTTGTGAATACGGAGTTGGAAGGCGCAGGAGAGCTTGATGGAACATTGTTTGTTCGTACAGCGGTGTTGACGAATGAGAGGTTGAGGAACGAGCGTGATACAGATTTCACTATCTCAACATATTGGGATAGGAAAGGATTCTACAAGTCGGCGGAAAGCAAAAAAATCAAGAGAGGGCTCCCTGAAGGTGCAACTTAACTCCATCCCGTGTCGCGTATCGGTTCATCCAATGCATCAAATAATATACGTATATGATGTTCAATCTTGTATTCTTCCTTGCTCGTTGGTTATAATCAGTTCAATACTGCTCGGTTTCTCTGATTTCGTCGTTTCGACTTTCAACATCGCCCCATCGCAATTTCGAAGCTAAGGCCTGCTGCTGAAAGTGTCGCACGGCGAGAACCATCTGTCTCGCAGCTCTCTTTTTCGAAATGCCGCCAACGCCTGTCGCTAGGCCAGTCATCAGCACGGTGCTGATAAGACGATGAGGATGGTCCTCGTTGTTGCGGTTCCATCGTTCAAGCGCTATTAGGAGTGACCACATGGCATTATATACGAGGTCCTTGTGCCAGCTAACATCCTGTGGAGTACGCATGGTGGGTAGGATGGCTAGGGAGGATGCCTGCCATTTATTGCCTGAACGAACAACAGAATCAGGCAAAGGAACAATCGTGCACGATCCCGGTGGTGCATATCCATGCCATTCTTTGGAAAGGTAGGTTTGACAGTGATCTGTAAGGGCCCACTGGGAAAACGAGTCATCTTCTTCATTGCGCATCACTTCAGCATTTCGCTCCTCAGAAGATTGTAAACTCTTCGACAGCTGTAAATCGAATCTTAACATAAATTCCATTAATTTTTCTTTTTCGCGCCAATAATCAAGTACATACCCACCGTCCATGATAGCGTACGAGTTTGCGGGGGAAACGATGCAATCGCATTTGAGTAACAGGGGATCGATGTCTTCGAGTTTTCCTTGGATGACAGTAAAGGGAGCAGGTAAAGGATTGGGATAGTATTCATGAATAGCTTCTTTCCATTCTGCGCACAAGGAAGAGGAATGTGCAATAAAAATGAACTTCATGGCTCGGAAGGTTTACGTAAAAAAACAAACAATCGGAGCAATATTAATCCAATGCATTAAGAGGGAATCGAACCCCCGGCGGGTCGAGATAGTAGTAGTAGAGAATCTCATGGCAACGACCCAGGTTACCACTACCCCATTAATGCTGTGCTATACCATCCCTTAAATTATTGTTCAGAAGGTCCATGCGCAATCGTCGTGTGCTTTATCCTATAAAACCCACGCTTGCACCACTTTCCAGCCAATCCACCCTCTACGACCCTCCCAAGCTTCTCTGCAGTCAAATTTGCTGCTCTCAGAAACAACGTCCCATCAAGCCTCTCTGCCCCTGAGAGCCCAGTTCCTGCAAAGTCAGGTTGTCCGGGCTCTCTTGTCCCATGTATACGTCTATAATGAGCCAACGTTCGCTGTAACTTTGGAAGATGATCGTCAGGATGTGCTTTGCTTGTTTCAATTATTGATCCCCAGGCGTCGTCCGTCTTTGCATCTGTAACAATCATTGTGTGAGAGAACGCAATATCTGGGAAGAAAAGCAACAAACTGAGCATTGTAGATTCCGTTGCGTCGTAGAACCCAGCGATGTCAAGTGATGG